AGTAAGCATGTGGCTGGGGGAAAACAAAACATCAATCTTAAAAGTGCCCAGGAAGGGATTGCAACACGCATATCCTGCCCAGAAAACAGCCATTGGGAATCGGCCTTCACACACACACACACATATATACACACACACACACACACATATATACACACACACACAGAGACACACACACACACTTTCCACCACGCTTCCAAAGCTCTGTCGTCACCCCAAATCTGCCCAACCACGCTGAGAGTCAATTAACATCACGGGGTAGGGGGAGGCAGCCGATGGTGAGGCGGGTTTGCTGCTGGGCACAGGGGCTCGAGGCAGCGGGAGTTTCCCATCATGCTTCGCCCCGAGCATCTCCCCAAGGAGGCGCCGAGGGCCCTGCTGCTGCTCTTACCGCAGGGCTCAGGAGCGCTGCCGCTCTCGCAGCCGCAGAAAAGGCTACATTGCTCGCCTCTTCCTCTCGCAGCCATGTCTCCCTCTCTCTGTCTTTTAAATCATCCAGGAACTGTGGCCCAGATTGAAAGGGGAGCGCGCCAATGAGAGAGAGAGAGAGGGACAAGGAGGTTGGCAGATAGGGTGGGGCTAACTCGGGCTTGCGCCTCTCCGCCAAATCGGGCGCGAGCAAAGCGCGGAGCGAAAGCAAAGCTGATCTCGCTGCTGCAGCAAAGAGGTCAGGTCTCCCTCGGGCATTGAAATTCCGCTCAGGCTGCAGCAGCAAGCGGAAGCCGCCTCTCTCCTTTGCCTGGGAGGGTAGAGGCAAGAGAGCGTCTGTTTGCAGCCAAGGAAGAGCTTTTGCACTGTTTTTTTTTTAAAACAACAACAACAACTAATAATAATAATAATAATAATAAAGCAGTCTTGTGGCATGCTCTTCCAAGAGAGATTGGCAGGCGCCTTCTGTTTCCACCTTCAAATGCTTGCTGAAAACTTTCCCATGCCGCCAGGATTATTATTATATTAGAATCATAGAATTAGAGAGTTGGAAGTGACCAAGAGGGTCATCTAGTCCAACCCCCTTTTGGGGCAGGAATCTTTTTGCCCAACAGGCTCAAACCCACGACCCTGAGATTAGGAGTCTCATGCTCTGCTGACTGAGCTATCCTCAGTATATTATTATTATTATTATTATTATTATTATTAATAATAATAATAAAACCATACCCCAATGTGATTTATGAAAAACAGTAAAAACAAACAAACAAACCCAAGAACAATAAATACATTTAAAACAAGACTAAAACCAGGACAGGTAGACACTTGTGGTAGTCTTGTTTTAAATGTATTTATTGTTCTTGGGTTTGTTTGTTTTTACTGTTTTTCATAAATCACATTGGGGTATGGTTTTATCCCTCTGGGAAAGCCTGTTGGGCCAAAAACATCTTCATTTGTTTCTGGAAAGTGCAGGTAGTGGGGGCCTCTCAAACCAGCTTTAATACAACTAGAAAACTTAAGCCTTAGGAATGTTGTGTGAATTTGAGATCGCCATTGCACATGTGCAGATGACTCCTTCATAAATAGGAGTTCCTGGGGCAGGGAAACCAAAAAAAGGTCATGCGCATCAGGCGAAGACCTGCCCACCTCCTCTCTAATGTGCACAACACCACAAACATGGCTTTAAATGTAGAAGAGCAAAAGTGACCTCCCAGCATTGTAAGCCATAAATGTGAACACAACATAAATGCAAATGTCTAACAGTAATGCTAAGCACAGGCTGCAGGAGCTAAATCCCAGAATGACCTTAACAGCACTGATATAACGTGCTCAGGATTTTGCTATTGTGTGGCTGCAATCCCAAGCACACCCAGGGTGTGGTCCCAAGTTTAAGGCACAAGAAGCCACCACATAGCTGAAGCTAAGCAGGTGTGGATCTGGTCAGTACCTGCATGGGAGACTGCCTGGGATCCAAATGTGTGCCAGTAAATAAATGAATAAAAATAAATAGGGAGACAGCTCCCTTGAACTTAATTGGTCTGCTTCTATCTATTGGTCATGCTTTCAATCGTAATTTAAAGGTCCTTTCCAGGTGGTTTCAGCGGAGACTTTTGAGAGGCTCCATAAGATGGGGGACACTTTAATAATAATAATAATAATAATAATAATAATAATAATTATATATTATTTATTTCTACCCCACCCATCTGGCTGGGTTTCCCCAGCCACTCTGGGCAGCTTCCAACAACAAATTAAAAATACATTAAAACATTTATCCATTCCCTATCATCTCTGCTGCAACCTAGATGCCAACCGTCATGCTTAGATTATTATGCACCTGGGTTTCTGTTCCCCTAATACCTCTCTGCCTGCTCTTTGTACTGCCTTGGGATCATAGAGACTGGAAACATTCTAGACCAGCAGAGGGAGATAGCTGCATCTGAAACAAAGTGGGAGAATTATACTTCAAGGATATCTTTACATACATTAAGTAAAGTAGAAACATCTCCCCCCACCCCCACTCGCCTTTCCCCCCTCTACCTCTCCCCCCCCCTTTTCTTCCTAATGTAACCCTAATGTCTCAACAAATGAAACTGACCTATGGAAAATGTAACTTGAAAAAGAGACATTGTGTATACCTTTGTAAACCAAGAAAACTTTAATAAAAATATATTATTATTATTTTTAAAAAAACTCAGCCTAAGAAGGTAAGAACATAAGAGGAGCCTGCTGGGTCAGGTCAATGGCCCATCTAGTCCAGCGCCCTGTTTTTACGGTGCCCAGCCAGAGGCCTGTGAGAAGCCTGCAAGCAGGACACGAGTGCAATAAAGTTGTTTTAATTTAATACAGTATATAATGCAGGCACATCACAGACTCAAACTGTCATTCAGGGTTATATAAATCTCACCTCCGTTCCGAGTTTACTAAGAGCTGCAATGATTTTCTCCTGTCACAATAGCATAGTTATGAGATTTGTCTGAATGTCATATTTTGGTTCCCCCTCAGGACTGTGGTTTTATATCTATAAAGTGGGATTTTGTAGAATGGCACTTCCAGCTGACCTGTTTATTCATCCCCATTTGTTGGTAGGGAGATTAGATGATGTTTGTGAGAACATGTGTTACCTGATGTTGCGTGTCACCCCAAATTTTCTAGTGCGTTTTCCCCATCACTTTTCGTATCACGGAAAGTCCAGCCTTATATTATGCAGGTTTGTAGGCAAGACCTCTCTGCAGACTATAATTGCATGACCATAGATTGCTGATATGTGATTGAGTCCCACCCTAAAATGTGACAGTCTGAAAGCGTTTTAAGAAGAGGCAATGGTCAGACTTTGGCTGCGTATACACATTAGCAACTTCAAACTTCTTTTCTTCTTCAATTCAAAGCTGGCTTGGACGTAGGAAACACATCCACATGAAGCATTTCATTAAACAGTTTTAAAACAGGATACAGGATAGATGTGGATTGTGGTTAATGTCATGTGTACATCGCTCCCCAAATCAGCAGTGGGAGCACATTGGATGCAGAGCAAACATGAGCGCGTACACAGCCTTTGTTAAGTTAAAGGCACTAGCTGGGACTGATAAGTATCTCTTTGCAGGACTAAATAATACAGCAATTACTAACTGGAGATGCTAACAGAAGGCATGCGTCCTCTGCCCCTCCCCTGACTAGAGGTGATGTCATTATAAGAAAACAACAGACCAGGAGCTGGTATTGTCTTGAACCTCGGCTGGCCTGAATCCAAAGCTATGGCTTTGAAGGATGCCCTAGAAATAGTAAGAATGTTGTGGCCCACAGGCACCACAGTTCTTGTCTACCACAGTTCTGGTAGACTTAATATAAAAACAAATATAAAATTTCAGGTGATAAGGTCTGATGTCAAGAGGTTAGGGGAGGGCGTCAAGAGCAAAAAAGTTTAGTAACAGGCCAAGGTCTCTCTCACACATATACAGCAGTCAAGTTCGCAGCAAGGAAGCGGTCAAGAAGCTGGAGTAAGGAAATTGTTCTGGCAACTTTCTTCTTCGTTCCTGTGAAAAAAGCCTTGTTGATCACAGTGGGACTTCCTTTGGGGGAAAACATGCATAGGGTTAGGCCAGCCTTTCCAGAACAAAGACCCACTGCTTCAGATAACCTCTGCAGCTGCTGCGTGAGAATTATATTATAATAAATTCAACTCCCGATAAAGGGCACTGTTTATTTGCCTATTCTCTCTCCCCGTGAACTACCAGCCATTTATCATACCTTCAGCCTTTTGTTCTTTTGTTGTTGTCAGTATTCCAAACATTGTTAAGCCTTCTTGTTTCTTGACAATGTGCAAAGGTCGCATTCAGTGCTATTCATAGTAGACACACTGAAGTTAAGGGATATGACTTTCAACGGGTCTTCGTTGAATGGATGCAGCCCTTGTGTGAACAGTGCAGAAAACTGGTCTAGCGTTCAATTCATTATGGAAAAAAAATAGGGGGAGGGGATGTGTTTAAGGATTGGGCTTAACGGGCTACCGTACAGTCAAGGGACACCCCTGCCCCAACTTGCGCCAGAGTACATATCCTCTCCCCCCAACTCTTATCACACTTTGTGCTCCAGCCAGAGATTGGTTAGTTGCCATAGCAACCTCTGCACGACATCCAAAGGACAGCTCTAAGAACCATCAGGGTCTACTTAGGCAAATTCCAAGTCAGTGGATATAATTTTATAGACCCACATAAACACATCAGGTCTACTTAGACAAATCCCAAGTCGGTGAATATTTTACGCACATACATTATATATATATGCACGCGTTTCAAAGACTTCCTACGTCTTTTGCAACACAGACACACACACCCCAACCTATTGCATCACCACACAGAAATCCTAGCAATGCTTTACAGAACAGAAAAGACACAGTCGGCTGGAGTAGGCGGTAAGGAAAAGACCTCTCGGTTTCAGAGAGAGAAAGGGGGGTGTTTCGTAAAGGAGCAGAAGGTGGGAGGGAAAGGGCAGCCCCCCCCCGCCTCCTCGTGACAAAGGGACCAATAGAGTCGCGCCAGACGTAGGCTGAGCTTTTCTTTTTCTTCCTTTCTTCTCCGCCAGGCAGCGAAGGGGTTAAAAGCAGGATCTGCTCTGACTGATCATTTTCAGCGAGGCTGTGCGAGCAGGACCGCATGAGCAACTGCAGCAGCAGTAGCAGCAGCAGCAACCGGCTACATCAGCAGCAAACCTTTTCCTTTCTCTTTCCTTTGGACTTTTACTAATCGGCTCCTGGGAGCGGATCCGAGCAGCCGCTCTGAATGAGAGGGTCGTCTCCTTTGCAGTATCTTTAAGTATCTTAAGCCTATATCGGTGAGGGGGAGCATTATCGGTATTACTATTAAATTTTAAATATATATAAATATATTATTATTCGTTCGGATCCCATCTTTGCATTTGCCCACCATCCCTGGAATCGTGAGAGAGGAGCCTCCCCCCACCCCGCGCCCCACTCTTCATAAAGAAGTTTTTCCTCAACAGAAATGGCAACGAAAATCGACAAAGAGGCGTGCAGAGAAGCGTACAATCTCGTGAGGGACGACGGCACGGATGTCAACTGGTAAGGCGCAGCGTTAGACTTGGGGTGAAAATAATAATGACGATTAAAGACCAGTGCAAATATAACAGAGAGACAAAAGAAAGGTATCTTGGGGGCGGGGGGGGGCGGCGGCGAGCGATCTCTTTAAGCTTTAAAACCCAGCAGTACCACACCCCTTGGCTTAAAGACTGAAGCAGACGCCCGTGGACTTCAGCCTTGCTCCATGTGCCCATATCCTTGACCGGTGGATATAATCACTGGCAAAAAGCAATGCAGTTATGATGAATGCCCCAGAGGTTAGCATTAGGCCGCTTATACACTGATGGGGAAGATTGGAAGTTGGGAATCACATTACTCATTCCCCCCCCAGTGTCCAGTGTGTGGTCCATTGTGTGTGTGTGTGTGTGTGTGTGTGTAGGAATTTTTTTCCAATAGAGTCAAAATGCAAAGACCTCCCCCACATATTTTACGATGCTCTTTCCTCCCCCCACTTCTCCAAGGGTGACGTTTAAGTACGAAGGATCCACCATCGTCCCAGGGCACCATGGAGCCGATTATGAGGAGTTCATCAGGCAATGCACAGGTAAGAAGACGGGAGATATACTGTACTTTCTTCCGAAGATGACCTCATAGGGTTGGGGGTGGGGAAAGGAATACAAAAGGCTGAATGAGAGGTGAGCTGTGGATTGCAAATGGTTTTTACATCCCCCCAATGTCTCATTCCTTCAAGATAGTTTGAATGTCTGGCTTTTTACATGATCTCACCCTGGATGTCTAAGCAGCCCAGTGGAATGATCTCATTCAGCTAATCCCTCTTTTGTTTCACCCTTGGCTTAAGTTGGGGAGGGGATTCCTCCCCCCCCTCCAAGAACAATTTCTTCCTTTCTTCAGGAAATGTTCTCCTTTTCATTGCTGGAGTGTAAATGGCATCTTTTTCTTGTGGGGGGGCATCTTAAAAGATAATTAAAGTGTAAAGCAAATGGAGTTTTGTTTTAAACCCCCCCCCAACTTCAAACAAATGATGGCAGCTTTCATGGCTTTTTTCCCATTGGTGACCCCCTGTATCTCTCTTTTTGGTCTTTTTAAAGTTATAAACTTTCATCCAAGAACCAGCAATCTTTTGGGGATGAAAAGGCAATGTAGAATCCAAAGTTTGTTGTATTAATTAATTCAGCAATCCACCCATTTTATTTATTTGATTTTTTTAAAAACCCTGATCACCCCCCCTCCCACAGGAGAGAGAGAGAGAGAGAGAGAGAGAGTCTCTCAGAATCTTATGAATCACAGTGATGTCAGGCTTACAATCTAAGAAGACATGCCATAAAAGGAAAATGAGTTGGGAAGGAGAAGAAAATAAGCTTTGTTACAAGAGGCTGGTGGGCTTTTGGGGGGGGGCTGTTGTTTTTTTACAGGAGGTTATACTTTCTTGCTTGCATCCCTTGTGTGCTTATGGAGCAGCTCCCTCTGTTAAAAACACCATCAAAGTCCTAAGCACACATTCCCTCTCTTTGTGCATCTGTGCATACATGGAGCTCTGTGTGAATATTTTGTGGCAGTGGTGGGTTCTGGAGCAAGAGAAAGCTCTGAAAATGAAATACACTGCAACTTTTAAAAATAAAAATTATTTCATACATTTATACCCCAACTTCCTGTTACCACGCCTCCATGTAAGCTTATAAAACCAGCATATTGCTGCAGTGCTAAGGAGCAGAGCCCACTAGGTACAATGGAACTTCCTTCTGAGTAAACATGCATAGGGTTGAACTACAGTATTTATAAAATAAACAAGAAACTATTTATAAATGAAATAAGGAACTGTTTATAAAAGAAATAAAATAGTTTATTTATAAAATATTTATAATATCATTTCTTTAATTAAAAAAACCAAAAAAACCTAAAATCTATCCAGCTACACAATCCAGTAAAAGAAATGGCAGAAGCAACGGGATAGCAATTAGGGTAACACAATTATCTATAAGATGCTCAAGAAACCAGCGGATTGTCCACACTTCTGCTTGTCCTGTGTCTAGAACTTGAGAGGTTTTCTTCTTGTTCCACTGCTTTCCTCCAGGAAAACCGCTCTTTATTGCTGAATCTGAGCAAATGTCAATCCGCTGAAAACCCCATTGACACTTCCTCCAATTCAGCAGTAAAGAGCGGGTTTTCCTGGAGGAAAGCGCTGGGACAAGCGGAAGTGTGGACGAGCCCTTTGTCAAATTTAAGTTGGCATATAAAAGATGGGTCAGTCAATGCTAAATGAATATTTCTGGGCAGCTGTTGCATGACCAGGGCACCACATGGAAAAGGCCCTGTCCCTGCTCTTCAGCAGATGCACCTGTATTAATATGAGTGTTATTAATTTGGTTTATTTAATTACTCCAGGGTACCTAGAGTGTATAGAAGAGAAGGCAGACCTTCAGAGACCATTTACAGCTAGCTGGAATGTTGGGCCCACAAGATCTTAAGGAAGTGATTCAGACAAGTTGCTTTGGATGCATTTCAGATCGAAAGACTTGTGTCTTAAAATACAGCTGGACGCAGTCTTAGAGAGCGTTCCAATTGCACTTCTATGAACTTTTGGGCCACCTGCTTCCAGGAGGCTTTTCATATATAAATTCAGCTGTGAAACGGAGGGCCTCACAGCCTTCTGGGCAACCTTCTAAGGGCCACATGCCAGTGGTGGGCGGGGCCAGAAGCAAATGTGAGCACATCAACCAATGGAAATTGTACAGTAGGCTGGTTTCTAGGCACATGCAACACACCCCTCTTTCTCCCCCGTCCTGGTAAGCAAGAAACATCATCAGAGTTCAAGGACACATTCCACCATGCAGAAGCCATTGGGGGGCTGTGAGGGGTGTGGCCTGGGGGCATTTCTGAGGACCAGGGAAAGAGGCCTGTTGGGGCGCATTCAGCCCTGCAATATTGGCTAGATACCAAGACACATTGCACCAGGACCTCTAAAATGGAAAGAAAGAATAACTTCTTGCTTTGCAGAGGAAAGTGAAATTGGAACAGACAGTCCAGAGGATTCCTTATCTAGATAGAGCCCTATGCGAGTGTTCATGTGTGGCTCAGAGTGCTGGGGAGAGAGCAGGTGTGTGCCTGCTAGTTCTGCTCCCCACCTGCTGTTCCAGTCATCCTACACAACTTGGAGGGCAGCGAGCTGAAACAGGGAACAGCCTGTACTTGCAGAGGCTCCCCCTACTCATTTTATAAGACTGGGGTTCAAAAATGTGCAGGGAGATGCCATGAGTGACAGGAGGCTTCTCCACTGCAGCCGCCCTCCAACTTGTGAAGGACAACGCGGGTGGAGCCAGAACATTTGTGAACACCAGAATAGGGATTTTGTATCAGTCACACATCAATCTGCAAGGAGGAGTGAGCTGTTTTGTTTGAGTCACACACACACACACACACACACACACACACACACACACGTAAGGATACTGAGTCACAGCATCTTTGATTTGGCTGGGAGAAAACTGATTTGGATTTGCAGGTTGGGCAACAGAGCTGATGTGGTCTTGGGAGCCACATGGCTCAACTGTGTGCTTCCTTCTGCAGTATCAGAATACCTACTCAGCCTACATGTTTGTAGGAAGATGGAGTTGTATACGATGCTTGTACTCAGAGCAGACCCACTGAAATTCATGGGCACTTCCAGATTGTGACTTTTTCAGGTGGGATAGTCAATCACATAGGTGATTTGGGTGGTGTTGTACAAGAAACCTGCTTTCTTTTTTCTACTGGAAAGTGGAATGCAATATTGTCTAACCTCCCTGCACACAAATCAGAATGCATATTCAATAAACAGGTTGTCTGGAAGTGACCTGAAGTCCATCAGTTTCAGTGGGTCCACTCTGAGTTAATACTTAGTTGGAATACAACCCATTATTGCAAAAGAGATGTTCACTCTCCAGTGTTCTCTCTTTTCAAAAGTCTGCACAGAATTTCATATTGCTTGCAGAAGGGGGGAACACTTGCACCATGAAGCAAACTTGCCCACAAAATTATCCCAACCTCCAAGTATTGCATCTTGAGCCTGAACAATTTCCTTATTAACTTCCTCTGTTTATTTGCAGAGCTGTACATTGTGTTTGGCTCTGTTTTTTCCCCATCTGGGAGGCAGTCAGTGGTTCCTGCTTGTCTTTAGATTTAGAATAACAAAGCAGAAGCAGAATGGCTCAGCAGGAAAGCAGAAAAGATGTGTGTGGCTTTCTCAGAGAATGAATGACTTTGTATGAATCTTTTGAGGAATGGCTTCATGAGCATCTGTTTATTCAGGCAGGCGGTTGGGTTTCCCCCTCCTTTCCCCAGCCAACAACCTTTGGAGGGGGTGTCACCCCCTTCTTATGGGGCATCAGTTCACATGAACAGAGAGAAACAGCACAACCTTGCAAGGAGAATTTGCCTCCCAAATGCTGTGTGCTTGCTGTGAGGAAATGTTTTCATTCCATAGGTAACCTGCCGTGGGCCACATGCTGGTGGTGGATGGAGCAAGTGGCAAAGTGGATAGAGCAGGGGTCAGCAAACTTTTTCAGCAGGGGCCCGGTCCACTGTCCCTCAGACCTTGTGGAGGGCCGGACAATATTTTGAAGAAAAAAATGAACAAATTCCTATGCCCCACAAATAACCCAGAGATGCATTTTAAATAAAAGGACACATTCTACTCAAGTAAAAACACACTTATTCCCGGACCATCCCAGACTGACAGGGCAATTGGGCCGGATCCAGCCCCCGAGCCTTAGTTTGCCTACCCATGGCGTAGAGTAACAAATGCCAATTTTGCCCTGGTGCAGGAGGGTAGTTTCTACACACACTCAAACATGCATGAGGAGAGAGCGAGGAAGTTCCTCATGGCACAGCCAAAAATCATTGGATACTGTCCTGCACCTACTTTACTGTTTTTTTCTTTGGGGGGAATTGCGGTGGTGGTCAAAGTAGGTCCCCAAACTGAAAGTTAGGCACTCCTGGGTCAGGTCATTAGGTATAGCATGTGCTACAATGAAAAATCATAGACTCATAGGATTGCAGAGTTGGAAGGGACCCTAAGGGACATCTATTCCAAACCCCGCAATGCAGGAAGCACAGCTGAAGAATCCCTGACAGATGGTCATCCAACCTCTGTTTAAAAACCTCTGGTGAAGGAGTGTCCACCCTCTTCTGAGGTCCACTGTCAAACAGCTCTTCCTGCCAGCTTTCTAATCTTTAGTTAGGATTTCCTTTCTTGTACTTTGAATCCATTGGTTCAGGTCCTACCCTCTGGAGCAGCAGAAAACAAGCTTGCTCCATGTGACAGCCCTTTAGATATTTGAAGATGGCTCTCACATTCTCCTTCTCGGAGCATGTTACATCCATGCCTCTCAGATGCACAGCATCTGTCTTTCTGGTGGCTTTCAGATGGCTTCCCTCCCCCTCCTCCCCCGAAAAAAAGGAAATGGCTAGAATGTGTTTGAAGCTAATGTGCAATCAACCCCATCCTGTTTCAAGAACTCCTCTTGCAGGGCCTGGATGGCTCTCTGTGGGCTCCTTGAGCCTTAACTAAGGATTTAATTCAAGGCTTTTGAGCCTGCTCCCTTTGGT